TTTTTTTGTGAGTTTTTTCGAATTATCCGAACGATTCGTTTGATCCACTCTTCGTCCATCCACGTTCCATCCATCGCATATGGGTGAACGCAAACTCTTGCCATCATCGGCTGAGCAAACAAAATGAAAGAGTAGGTGAAACTTTGGGCGTAGCCGCCATCGACCCGGCTCACGATTTGCAAACGTAAGCCAAAATTTCAACCAGAACTGACCCACAACCCGAGTCTGACTCGCTTCTTGTCGGGATAACAAGTCTTTGGAATGCAGCACAGTCAAAAAAAAATTTGCTGCCCACACCAAACTGTACACATGATTGCCGTAGTCTGGACAGCCTTCCAGCTCGACATAGCCACATCCCCAGCTCTGCGCAGTCGTAGCCTTTAGCTCTCAGCTCCTTAGTCCGCCAAAGCGAGGAACATCCCAACCCCTAACACGAAAACTGAACAAAAACCCAAACAAAAGACTGACCGGCTGAACTTAGAACCAAAGGTCAGGGTAGGAACCCTTCTTGAGACTGAGGTTGACTGTAGTCAATCGTTTCAGCGCCACACGATAGCCCGTGCGCTTGCACCATGCCCGAAATTGAGCATTAGCTCTTTTCAGTTTTTTTTGAGGCCACCAGATCCAAAGTAGCCCCGGCGGCACAGAAATGACACCACACTCCCAATCCTCAGTTCCAAAGAACACAGCTAGGTCCCTAGGAAAATTCAATTTCCCGACCAGCACAGAAAGATTGTTTCGAAAGGAAAAACATCTTGTATATATTAAAATGACTTAAAATGTAGGATCAGCATCATGTCTCTTCCGACTCCCAAATACCATATGTGCAAAACATCCATTGATATTTTGTCTTCACTGAAAAAAATCGAGCAGGGTGATTGCTGGCACATCTTTGAAGGGAGCCTCACTTACCCCAATGGTAGCAACCCAAGCTGCGCTTGCGGACAGGTCTGTAAAGTTTAAAGCTGCTGTGTTTGGTCGAGTTCCCTTGGCCGCACTACACTTCCAGCAAATATATTCAGTACCTGGGTGTCGTGTGAGGTTGAAGGCCTGCTTGAGGAACTTCCAGTCCCCCCCTCACACTCATCACGCGGAACTGGAACGTTTTTTCCGTCACTGGATCATAGACACCATCTCGGGAAAGCTGGTTCAACGAACGGACAACTTCCGATAGTAGGGCTTGCAAAGTCCTGTTGACTCCATTCACCTCACAACCAAATTCCAGAGCAAAAAAAGTTGCACAGATCACAAAAACAAAGCATGCAGCCCTGACAACTAAAAATATTCAACGTTTGAACCAAGAACCACCCAGTAGTTTTCACTGGGTACCAGCGCTATCAGGTATCGACTTAGCGTCGCATTAGTCTTGTTCTTGCAGAGTAGAGGGTGAAAGTGAACACACATGCAAGCCTGCCGAAATACTGTGGCTTCGTCTCCGTACAGAACCAGTGGTATTGTGTACTGTGGATCTGCAACTTGGTGGTTTGGAAAATCATGGCTCATAGATGTCCAGTATTTGGTATGGTCAGATCGTGAACCCAGCATAGTATGAGACAAGCCTTCTTTGGCAAGAGCTTCAACAAGAACATGTGGTAGCAGAACTGGCCATTGTACAATCTCCACTTTGTCCTCCCCATCATCGTCTTCAATGCAAATGGGAATTCCAACTTCCTCGACCTTGCACGGTAAAGAAAGCCCAGCTTGAGAAAGGCGCTTGTGCAACCGCTGCTCCCCAGAATAGCCACGCCCGGTCCTCAAACTCTCGAACAAAAGCAGCATTAATTGTGAAACCATATTTGGGGAAACTTCCAAAATTCGAGTGAAAAGTCCCGAGTCATGAAAAAGTTGAAGGCTATGCCAAAAGTCCCAAAGCCAATAGAGCCATAGACAGCTCCAATTCGCTCAGCCAAATCTTGGGAGATATCCCCTTGTCCGAATGCTTCCGCTAGCCTTAGCTTTTCCAAAAAAAGATTCCGCTAGCCTTATAGCTTACCAACAAAACGATATCTGTTAGAATTCTAGAAAACTTCGACCGACAAACTAATTCAAGAGGCAAATGATCCAACTCTTCACGAATATGTATTGGAACCAGGCCGCCTCCACAGCAACGCGAATCCAAAAAGCTAATTTAGAAGTGGTCTTTTTTGAGATGGCCGATAGCTCGTATTTTTTCCAAGCTCTTTGCCGTGGAGCTTCACCCTGCGGTCTTTACCCCGCATACAGTTTGTCGTATGCATCCCTAGCCGCTAACCGAGTCAGGGCTCCATCAAGGCTCATTTCCAGAATAACTAGCCTTGGTCGGGAAAGCAAATAGGCCGCATGAGTTTTGGTGTGTAAACATATGAAGCCTTTCTAGTAAAGCAGCCGGAGCGTTTTGCTAGTTCACGAATGACAGCTTTCGCTTGCGCAATCGTCATCTTGGTGGAATTGATCTGACAGGACAGCTCAAAAAGAATCTACAACTATGACTATAATCATAACAAATGCGTTTTGACCCATATAGAGCCTTCTGCTTCGCCAAACTCATCATTCTTTCCAACTGACTCTCATCCAAGGTCTCATCGTCCAAATCAAAGTCCTTGATTTTGTCCACCAAAGTTGCCAATTCTGCTTTTGACATGTTCAGGTTCTTCCTGAGGTCGTGATCTTTTGGCAACTCCATAGCCACCGAGCACGCATTGTAGGAAGACCGCAAATCATTACCTGAGAAGAAATGTGTAAACATATGCTCTAGTATTTTTGTATGGGTTGATTCAAATGATTATTCTTCGAGGCGCAGCATGCAGAAACTTGCTCTTCCCAGGTCTGTGGCTCTTGGGGCTTTGGGATGGGTTTGGCCTTTGCTTTGCTTTTCACCCCGCCCCTTGGCCTTGGGCTGTGGTTCTTCCACACCTTGGAAATTCAGAAATTGTATTCAGAAATTGTACTGTACACTGTTCAATGAACAAAACATACACAAAACAGTGTACAAAAACCAATCCCCGACCTGTCAGCTTGGTTTCGGAAATCTTGGCCAGAACTTCCGTCATGTTGACTGCTCCAGGACTAGGTAGGTAGATTGGCCCCAGAGGTCAAAGCTTGCACTGCCTCACCTGTTGGATTGACTTGGACCTCCCCTTTCAAAGACAACTTGGATCTTTGTACGTTGCTTCGTGAAGTTCGGACGTTGCACCAATATCTTGCCTCTTCCAAATTTTCTGGAAACTCTGGATCCAAGATTGGCTGACGAGTGCTGACCACAGCCTGGATCTTCTTCCTTAGTTGTCATTTGGGTTTCGGACTTCTCAAAATTTGCTTTTACAACAAACATCCATATCAACAGCAAAAGGGGAAAAGAAATGTATACGCACAATACAAGTCTAGTCTAGTGTCTCTGAAACCCTGCCTTACGCATACCTTCGATGGTAAGCAGCTGGTCCTCACCCTCGTACATATTCTCCACCTCTTTTGTCATCTCAAGGGAAAGCTCACACTTGTCCAAGACTTCTCCACTGGCTAGCCATGTGCGAAGCAAAGACAAACGGTCTTGGTCGCTTCCTTCAAATAACTTTGCAACGTTAGGGCACTTGGCTGCCAACCCCTCCTTTTCACAGCGCCGACGCATACGCATGGCCATCTTCCTGCAATTGGACGTGTTGATGAGAGACGCAGGGACCAAGCCCGATTGGTGCAGCTCCAGGATTCGATCTGCAGGGGGCATGAATGAACCAACCATTGCGATTGTTTTAAAACATATGTATAATATTTATAAGAAAAACAAAACAAGCACCTTCGCTCAGCCCTTCAAGGTCTTTCTTGTTGTAGAGGATTGTTGGGAACCTGGGACTGTGGAGGCAACCTCGTCGACTTCCTCTGGGACATCTTTTGAACTCCCACTTCTCGCGGTCTCAGGTGCTTCAGGTTCCACAGGCTCCAGCTTTGTTTCTTTCTTTGGGTCGTTTGGCTAGGCTGTTTTGGCAGGGTCGTTCTCCGGTTTTTCTTTCTGTGGGTCGTTTGGCTGGGCTGTTTTGGGAGGGTCATTTGTTTCTTGCTTTGGGTCATTTGGCTTGGCTTCGTCTGCAGCTCTGGCTCGGTCCTCAAGCATGAGCACCCCCGAGACTGACTTTTCCACCTCTGGTGTTGTTTCTCTCTCTGTCGAATTTGGATCCTTTGGCTGGCTCTTTGCGGGTGCTGTAGCCTGGGAAGCAGGGTCTATAAGGGTCTCCGCAGCAGCTCTGGATTCCAGAAAACTGGTCATAGCCCTTGCGAACCTATTGGCCATTTCCTCCACCTGCTTGTCGGTAGCAACTTCACTTGCAGACCCTCCGAGCCTCATCACACAAAAAATAGGAACCCCACACTCACCATATACACCCCCCCCAACAAAAACAAAATTAGAGACCAAAAGATGCCTGAATCTATTCGAGTTTCGAAGCAAACAGCTGTGATTCCGTTTGGCTGTCTCCATTTGGCTGCATAGCTGCTGAAAGGCTTTGGTAGAACATTTGTTCCTTCCCGCGAAGGAGTGTAGACAAAGAACAGCTAGTCGTTGTACTCGTTCCGTCCTCAGGGCGTCCTGACTCTACCGGGGGCGCTTCAACCTTTTGTTCCTTCTCCTTCTTCTTGCCTTTAGGATTTTTCACCGGTGCCTCCTCCTCTGGTTCCTCCGGTGCCTCCTCCGGTGCCTCCTCCGCTGCCTCCTCCGGTGCCTCCTCCGGTGCCTCGCCTTTCTTTTGTTTATTCTTCTTGCCTTTCTTGGGTGCCTCATCCTCCGGTGCCTCATCCTCCAGTGCCTCCTTCTTTTGTTTCTTCTTCTTGCCTTTCTTGGCATCCTCCACAGGTGCCTCATCCTCCAGTGCCTCATCCTCGCCTTTCTTTTGTTTCTTCTTCTTGCCTTTCTTGGCATCCTCCACAGGTGCCTCATCCTCCAGTGCCTCATCCTCGTCTTTCTTTTGTTTCTTCTCCTTCTTGCCTTTCTTAGAATCCTCTATGGGCGCCTCATCCTCACATTCCTTTTGTGCCTTCTTCTTCTTCTGGCTTTTCTTCGGCTCCTCAATTTCTTCATTATTTTTGCCTTTCTTGGTTGCCTCATGCTTACCTTCCTTGCTCTTCTTGCCTTTCTTGGATTCCTTTTCCTGCTCCTTTTCCTCATCTTCCCCGTCTTCCACCTGCTTCCTGGCTTTTTTTTTTTTCTGTGCTTGTGTCTCTCCGTCATCCTCGTTGCTCCTCTTGCAAGGCAGCTTACTCTTTGGTGTCTTTGAACCTGATTTGGCTTTAGCCTGGGCAACTTTCGGGGGCGTAGTTGTAGCATCCAATGATCCCTTCCTCTTTGGAGTTACCTTGCAACGGTGAAGAATAAAAGGGGCCCAACCACTAACCACATCCAAAATTAAACTTGAGGAGCCAAAATAGAACACATTAGTTTCCAAAACATCCAGGTGACCAGGTCTTGTGCCTTTAGGTGACGAACAAGTTCAGCAGCTTCATCACGTGTCAAACCATGTTCTGTCATCATCTCATTGACGTCCATCTTCACCAAAAGAGTCGGCAGGGGCTAAGTGACCCCACAAAAAGCCAAATGCTTCAGTTAATGGCCAAGTGACAAATTGAACAAAACATTTCACGCGGTTTCATGCGGGTTTTCCTTACAAACGAAGGATTTTTCTTGACATGTCACGCGATTTCACCGAATTTCACGCGAGTCGTTTTCAATTCTTCCGTGAACCGAATGAAAGCGATATGAAATGCTTTGTGGTATAAAGAAAAAATGTCTTTTCACCTCAGCGGATCCACCCTGCATAGTTCAGCTGGCTGGGTTTGGCCAGCTCCCCAAAATGAGAAAGCCCCAGTGCAATCCCATCAATTGCACCAAAAGATTCACCCAGCTTTCCTTGGTAGCCCAACAAATGTCTAAATCAATGGACGTCATTCTTGACAAAACTCCCGTACCACCTCAAAACACAAAACAGTGAAACATGTTTCTCAAAAGTTTGGACAATCTTATCAGCCAGGAGCTGCCCAAAGCGATCTCTTCGAACAATCATCAACCAGCCAAGAGCTCCTCTAGCTCATCAGCAAAGGGCACATCATCCTCACCTCAAGAAACATGTGCGCACACGTGATATGTCACAATCAAACGTTAGTTATAGTCTTTTTCAGGCCTAGTTCAGTCCCTTAATGTCACACTGAAAAAAGTTAAAGCTTCTTTTGGATCCATTCCGCTCAATCTGAATCTCCTGACTCCCTCTCACGAGCGCGCTTGCCAGAGCGCTGGCGCAGAATAGAAGGCCGAGCGCGTTTTATAGGCTGGAGGCCCACCTCAACTAGCCAGCGAGGGTTTTCAGGTTCCTCCCCCCAAAAAGATGAAACCTGTTCAAGATCCTTGGAATTAGTTAAGACCCTGCTGATCTCCCCCGCTCACCCAAAACGAAACAAAATTTCCATCCAAAACGAAAGCAAACCCAAAATGTTGTTGATCAGGGGAAGATGCCGATTCGTCTCGACTGTTCTCAGCGGGAGTTGTAGCATCAAAAGCTTCCTGGAAGCTCAGGTTTTGTTTTTCCTCGGATCATCGCCATAAATGGGCTTTCTATTTTTGTTGATTCCGTTATATTCCGTGTGTCGTTTTTGTTAACCCGCTCCTGATCGGATGAAACCTGAAGATCACCACCACCACCACCACCACCACTATCTGCGGACGTTCCACCAGCCGATGTAGCTTGCGTTGGATTCGCCTCCTTTCGGGCTGAAGCCGCCTTAGATTCTTAGATCCCATCAGCTGTTTTTTCCAAAAGCAGAAAAATGCTCAGCAAGAAAAGTGTAAATATTTGGCCGGAAGAATGCAAAGAAACAATAACCTTATGGAAAAGCTGTTAAACAGGGGACGGCCTGTTTGTCAAAGTATATTATTCCAAGGCCACCCTTTTTTTTCATTCTCGGGGGTTCAAACAAGGAAGAAAGGAAACGTATACAATCTCCAGACAGGAAGCAGCTTCTGCTTCAGCTATACGGTCCAGGGCTTCTCTCCTCCATAGGTGAAAAAACATAAGTTTCAGATCCTGCGCCACCGCTTCTTCATGCATCCTCCATAGCCAATCGAAGTAGGTCAAGTCCATATAATTGAGCGAAGCAGGACAAGTTTGAGCCAAGCCACTCATTCAAAGCGCGGTGTAAGGCAAAAAACAAACAACATCTTACCCACTCAGCAAAGTCACCTGGAAGATGTACGGACAACAAGAAATGCCAGTTTCCAGGCAGATTGGCCGCCAGCAATCGGCTGCAGATAAGATACTTCACCACCTCATTCATAGCAGCCTCAAGCCATGAAGACATTTTCCGGAAAGGGACAAACCGGCGTTTATCAAACAATTAGTGAAACCAGAAAGGCCTTTGCACATTCTTTTAAAAATGAATACCAGCCAAAGAGACATCGTCAAAAGGATCACCCATCAGGTTGAAGTCTTCATCGAGACAATAGGTTTTGAAAAGCTCCCAATCACTCAGGCTTGGGTCGACTTCCCGCGGGCTCCGGGCTGCATTTTCCAGATCACATGTTTTCAGTGCACATAAAATGCTTGCAACATATGCTCCGAATTCAGCAGTGTATTTCCTAGGATTTCATCCATATGAGTGAAATGAAAGCACATACAAGAAACGTATATATATATATATATTAGATTTGAAACTTCCTCCGAGAATCTGGCTGGCTTTCAGCTTGTCCTTGATCCCAGTTGTTTGTACTTTCCCATACTTGTTGATGGTCTTCGTCACCAGAGCACCTCCTGGTAGGCTTTCCCTGACTGATTTGGCCAAATAGCCAGCTTTGACTTCAATGGCTCGTACAAGCTGAGAACAATTTCCGAGGAGGATGTGGCGCTTTGCTGTTGGCCCGTGAAAGGCCGCCATCCAAAATCCACCTTTCACAACCTGAGAAGAAATTGAACCCCCTCCCCACCACTATACACAGCAAAGACTAAACACATGAAAAGAACATATTCAACAAACACAAGCATGTTGGACAAATATTGAGTCATACAGGAGACCTGGACCTCTCCGAATAGCTGGTCAAACCGCCGTGTCTTCTACCGTTTGGCTGCTCCAGCAGCCATCGAACACCCATGCAGCTTGCCAGCCATCCCAATAGCATGCAGCAAGCTGCCAAGATATTTCCGTCCTTAACAAAATTGTAATTCTCATTTCCATCTGGTTGAAAGGCTGTGCGCCCTGATGTGCTTCGTGACCTTAGTAGCAAAGCTTTAGTCTTGAAAAATGATTCCCAAATAATGTTCTTTTCTGCTGTTTTCTTTGTACCTTCTCCTTGCTTCATTTTTCTGGGCAAGTGTCATTCTGCAAAAACTGTTGCAGCACAAAGCCATAAGCAGTAGTGCGGCAGGTTTCAGCTGCAATACTTGCGAAATAGCCAGCCTTGGACAACCCATTCAACACCAAATCAACACGCAATATGTACGACACGGGTTATTCAAGTTCTTTGGGCCGTTTCCCACTGAATTAAAGCCATCAAGATAGGGCCAGGCAACAGAAAACCTGCTGGACGAAGTAGGTTTTGCGTGTTGCGATCTTGCTCCACATCAATGGATATAGCAGAAAGGCCAGCCTGAAAGAAGGGTGCCAGAGCGCGCAGACCAACCCCTTTGAACATGTGCACACTCAAAACAAGGCAGGTAGCATTTCGAAGTGCAGCAGAAAGCTCTCCGGCTCCCGAGAACAACTCGCAAAAGTCCAAACTGTCGTTCAAGACGCCGTCCCCGGTAAAACGCAAAAGTATGACCGTCATGATCATAATTGGTGGCAAGCCCCATTCGATCATCTTCTTCACTTCAACCGCCATTCCCCGAATGCCACTTCAAATCTTGAAGCGACGGCGCTTCAGCTCCGAGTCCGGCATGTTTGCCAGTAAGCTGATGCGAAAATCTGAAATTTGCCAAAGCTCTAAGGCTTCTTTGTGAACCCTGTTTTTTGCCTCACATATGAACTTGCGGTATTCTTCTTGATACTCTCCCGGCTTGTAATTGTAATTGGTCTTCTTGGCTGAGCTGCTTTTGTTGACTTCCTTTGGTTTTTCTGTTTTATCCTTCTTTGGTTTGTTTGGCTTCTTTGGTTCGTCCTTTGGCTCCTCTTCATCTTGGTCACCTTCTTGATCAATAACCACTGGCGGAGGACATTTCAATCCTTTCAATGTCTCCAGCACCTGACACAGATCGAGCGGGCCCTTTAGAGAAAACAGGCATCGCAAAGTAACACAAACAATCAAAACTGTGTCAGGCTGGGTTAGTAACACAACCACTCAAGTATCACACAGTAACACAAACGAGTCTCATTAAAGACTCAGCCTTGTCCGGAAGCATGGCCACTTCCTTTCTCTTTTGTTTCTTGTCATGTGTAAATAGATTGCGCCAAACTGACTCCTTCTCATCAGGAACCTCACGATTGGCCTCGATAGCTGCCACCATATCAAGGACTCTTGATGAGGAAGAAGAAGAAGAGGGAGCACACGTGGACTGTACAGAAGAGCTTGTATCATCATCCAATTCTGAAAACTTTCCAGCATCAGCTTCCACAGCATTCCAATCCTGCAGCTTTGTTTTGCTTTCAGGTTTTGTTTTCTGATACTCACTGCTTTGGTTTTAGCCCAGCGCAAGAACAAGAGTGGACAAACACGAATGAATGCACAAAAAAGGCTCCATGTCTTCCAACCGGTCTCGAATCCATTGCAAACCTGTGTTCTTGGAGGTGTCACTGCGTAGCATCAGTGGTCGAAACCGTGAAGCCTGAGTGTTGAAACTGATGACCGGCATGTGTGTCACACAATGTTCATTGTTTTCTTTTAAACCAGTTGCAACTTGTTCAATAGCACAGCAAAGGTACCAAACGCGCAATTGCAAGACCTTGCTTTGCTGCCCACTCTTCTACACATGGAAGCTTGGAATGAAGCCCTTGTGGAAATAACTTGTGCCTTTTGTAAAAGCAAATCACCGCACTTGCCATCAGGTGCTTTGAAACATATCTTCTTCCTTTTGGTACTTGGATCACAGCGCATACAACCTGGGAATGGTGTTTGTAAGACGCATTGCAAAATTGGTAATTGCACTTTACACAGGAAAGACAGGTGGCTTCTTTGTTCGACTGCACGTCCTTGAGACTGACTGCAGCCGTCCCCTTTCTTTTGAAACATTTGCCGCTGTGATCTTGCATGAATGACAGTCCAACCTTGCACACGGGTAGCTCTTCAACACCAAAACACAAAAATAGTATCAGCTGC